TCTCCCTCAAAAAAAAAAAAAAAAAAAAAATTGTTGAATCACTGTATTGTACACCTGAAACTAAAATAACACTGTATGTTAGCTACACTGGAATTAAAATTAAAGAACTAATAAAAAAAATAAAGAAAGAAGACATGAAAAGATTCATGAAGACGAAGGTAGTACTGCCCCTCCCACCCCTCTCCCATCAATCCTGTCCCCACGAGGCAATTGGAGGACCAGCCTGTTACGTTTCTTACATTTGGAAAACGTTCTCAAACATGTACGCACACGTACAGCTCTATACATGTATGTACGTGTGTATTCATCCATCCACCCATCTATATCTGTGTGTGTATTTAACACACCCTCACCCCCATAGTATGGGGTCATACTATGTGTATTACTTCGCAATGTGCTTTTTTGTTACTCCAGGTCAAGATACATGGCTCTTAGTATTTTTTAAATTTCTGCACAATATTCCACATCATAGTACTGCCATAATTTACTAAACCATTCCTTTACGGGGCTTTGTGATGGTCTCCAGTTTTTGCCGCTACAAATACTGCAGCAATAAATAGTTCAAACATCATTACGTACTGATTCTTTTATTGTTTTACAGGCTAGTTTCCCAAAAGCAGAGCTGCTAAATCAAAAGATATGTGTGTTTATCCTTAATAAGTACGGCCAGGGGCACCTGGGTGGCTCAGTCAGTTGAGTGTCTGCCTTCGGCTCAGGTCATGATCTCAGAGTCCTGGGATCGAGCCCCGCATCAGGGAGCCTGCTTCTCCCTCTCTCTCTGCCTGCTACTCCCCTGGCTTGTGCTCTCTCTCTGTCTGTCAAATAAATAAATAAAATGCCATGGAGCTTCATGTAGAGGCCACAGGCATTGCACACCGGCTCACCCTCGGCGTTGCGGCGCCACAGCGTGGTCGTAGTGGTCTGGCAGTTGGCACAGGACAGGCCCACTCGGCGGGAGGCAGACAGCCGGCGCTGGGGCTTGATGAGGGGCCGGTTGATGCCGTTCATCTTGTGGTAGAGGCCACAGGCATTGCAAAGGTAGTGCCCCGTCCCATCGCGCCTCCAGAGCGGGGTGGACATGGCCCCACAGTTGACACACTCTCTGCCTTCCGAGAAGTCATCAAACATATCTACTGGGTGGAAAGTAAGACAGAGGATTAATTCTTTTGGTTTGTGCCCAGAAACCTTACCTTGGAGAATCCAGAGGCCAAGGAAATAATGCCTTTTCCTTGAAAGGAGTAAAAGATGGATCAGCTCGGGCTGCCTCCCTTTTCCTGACTCGGCTCGGCTCACAGGACTGCCAGGAAGTGGACATTCTTACTCTTGGGCATTGCACACAGAGCACAAGACCCGGGTCACAAGGAAAGAAAGACTTGGGCAGCGACCACCAGCAGCCTGCGTTTTAGTCCCTCTCTCTCTTTCAGAGCCGGTGGCCCTGAGGTTCTCACCCAACACTGAATTCTGCCCAGACCTTTCTCCTCTCTTTTTACCCTTTAAAACTGAGATTCTTTTTCCCTTTCAATACAAATACAAAATCAAACAAACAAAAGAAAGGTTTACTCCAAGGAAATTAGAAAATAAAATGTGTGAAGAAAATACAAATCATATGTAATCCTGTGACTTCAAGATCACCAGTTATTAACATTTTGTTCTATTATATCCTTTGCAATATTTTATATATTGACATATACTTTGCCTAGTCGAGGTCAAGCTATATAATTTTGAACCTATTTTTTTCACACAATACCAAGGCATTTTTCCCACATTAGAAATTCTTCATAAACTCATTTTAGCATAGTATGGTATCCCATCTTATAAATGTGCCATCCTCATTATCATTAAACTTTTACTTAATCCCTACCCGGTTTCTGATTCCCGTTTTGTAAATACTGCTCATTTTGTGCACAAATCTTAGCATTTCTGCCTATTCCTCAGGATAGTCCCCTAGGAGTAGAATTACTGAACCAAAGGGACTACATTTTTGGAAAGTTTTTGAAATTTTCAAACTGCCCTGCAAAAAGGGCTGGGATCCATTTTCGTTCATTTTTTGCCATTTCAATATATCTGTATGATATGCTGTATCACAGTTTGACACTTTTTCCTGCTTATTGGTACATAAAATACAGGTCCATATTGTAAGCGACTGTGACTTAGAGTCACTCACACTTCCGTGGGCACATTGCCACCACTTAGTCTCCTGCACTCACTCACCACCCCCCGCCCCGCTCCCCACCACCTCTATTGCCCAAGTCTATAGGATTTTACAATTGACAAATTTCACTCATGCCCATTTCAGTTGCCCTGCTGATATAGGCTGGGCCAAGTTTCTTATTCTCATGATCTGTATAAAACCTGGCTGAGAATTCCAGAAGTCTCCCTGACTCCATCCATGTACACCGCTTCCTAGCCTGAAAAATATTTTATATCCTATCCAGATTTTCTGTCCCTAAATGCAGCTACCCTGGTGTTCAGATTGTTCTTGTCCTACCACCAGAGGCAAGAGTGGATTCTTCTCTTGTAACGGGGTGGGGGATATGTGGAGAGGAGGGGTTTTAAGAGCTCTCCCTCTACCGGGACCTAGCACTGGGTTTTAAGGTCACACATTCTGCTAGTTCTGTGGCCCAGCTACTTGCTCTAAGGGAACGTGGGCTGAAGAAGAGGATGGTGGGGGGCCTTCCCCTCAACTCTGGGTACACAAACAGTCATTTGCACCTGCAAACAAGTAGCTGTGTGTCCACACCGAGTCAACAATGTGCAGGTGTGAGGGGCTATTTGCTCAGGCCAGGGAGCTGAGCACACACCGGTCACAAGAGAGGCTATTTTTGCACCTGGGTCACACTGAGAACCCTCCCGCAAGGTCACCTGCTTTCAGAGCCGCACACAAAAGGACAACTCCCGTCCCCGTTTGCTTCTCCATGCCTGGGTGAGGCAAGGAATGAGCCCGCATGCCACCTCCACCTCCAGACCCGCAAGTGCTGCCCTTGTCCTGAGCCGGTCAACCCTGTTCCCTTGGCCAAGGCCTTCCCCTGAGGCCAGGGGAGTTCACAGAAGGACTCTGGAGCAAGGAGAGGCGCTTGCAATGTCGGCCTTTGGTTGGGGGTTTGCAGCGAACACTAGATGGCACTAGAGCCTCAAAATTGAACCAATACACGGTATTCTAGCCTAAACCATGCTTGGGGATGGAGGACTGTTTCAGATCATGTTCCCAGTCCAAACCTAATGCGACCCTCTTATTCTTTTTTTTTTAATGGAAAGATTTAAACACGCTCAAAAGTGGACAGAATGAACTCATTTTTTTAAAAAGATTTTATTTATTTATTTGACAGAGAGAGACACAGTGAGAGAGGGAACACAAGCAGGGGGAGTGGGAGAGGGAGAAGCAGGCTTCCTGCGGAGCAGGGAGCCGGATGCGGGGCTCGATCCCAGGACCCCGGGATCACGACCTGAGCCGAAGGCAGACGCTTAACGACTGAGCCACCCAGGCGCCCCATGAACTCTTATTTAATCATCATCCAGCTTCCAACAATTTGTGGCCAGTCTTGTCCCATGTATCTCTCCACCCTCTTTCCTCCATCCTGTATAATTGAAGGAAATCCCAGACATCCTACCGTTTCATTCATAAATATTCCAGTACGTAGCTCTCACAGATAAAGAATCACACTCTCCTCCCTTTAAAGATAGTAAACTGAGGGTGGCTGGGTGGCTCAGTCTGTTATGCATCTGCCTTTCGGTCCTGGGATTGAGTCCCACATCGGGCTCCCTGCTCAGTGGGGAGTCTGCTTCTCCCTCTGCCCCTCCTCCCTGCTTGTGCGCGCTCTCTCTCAATCTCAAATAAATAAATCCTTTTTAAAAAAATCTAAAAAAAATAAATAAAGCAAACCGGCTTCTTTCCCGTGTTCTGGTTTACCTAAAGAAGCTTCCAGAGACACAAATCTCATAATCTGGTCCTCCCTTTTGGAGGGGAGATCTCATCTCTTCACACTTCTGATTTTATATGAAGGGGCACAATCTCATCGAAGGAGCCATCCAGGCAATTACAGGTTTCTCTGCTACTTACTGGCCTTAACTGAAACCGCAACACAAAGATTTACCTTAGAAACTCCTTCACACTTGCCTCACAGAATAGGTTACACTCAAGGCAATTATTTTACTGGCCAGGGAAAGGCACTGGAGGTTGGCAAATATGTATTTGTCACCGACAAATATTTACTGAGCATCTGCTATTTAAGCACTCTGATAGATGTCCCAGAAGCTAAGAGGGAAACATTCTCAGAAGGCTGATAACTGAGGTGGGCAAATTGGGCCAAAATACCAATAATGAGTTAACAATATTGCTCAACTCATTTTCAGAACATACCTTAACCAAGATGGGATTTGGATGGCAGATACTTCTTGTCTAGCGTGGGAAGTGCAGAAGTCAGACCCAGACTGAAGGGTCAGGTGTTAATAACAGTAGCCAAAGAAGAAACAGGATAGGAGGTCAAGGCCATGCTTCCTCAAGGCACCCTGTCAGATGCACCAAGTCTCTCTACAATCCACCAACCCTCCAAATCTACAGAAGTTTCCATGTTTTCTACCAGAATGTCTTGCCATCCAACCTACTCAATAACAGGCTACAAAAGTTTAAATGCTTATTACAAAGCGCTGTAACAATCGAGGAAAATGTTTACCCCAAACTTTAAATGAAAAGTGCAACACATGAACTGCCAGACCACCCTGAGGGCAGCTAAGACACTGAGAAGGAAGAAGTTTTTGTTAGGCTAGTTATTGTAATGTGGACTTTTCTTTCTTAAAAATGCCATTCTGGAATGCCATAGTTGCCTGTTTTTTTAAAAATCTGATAAAAAATTAAAACAAAAACAGAAAGACTTTTGATCACCTTAAGCAGCTCCCAGTCCACTGTGGGGGAACTATTTCACTCTCTTGCATCACACACACACACACACACACACACACACACATACATACACACACAACCCTACCTTGGGCTGAAGAAAGGAGAGAACGAAGTTCAAACCCTGCTGCTTAGCAGCCACCCTGCCAGAAGTGGGAGCTGATAGGCAGTGAGCCCCATACCAGCACAAACATCTGGTGCGGTGAACCCTGGTAACTTATGCCTTCATTAGAAAGGCGCTGAGTGGAACTTCCCAAAGGGCAAGTGGGCAGTGGCCTGAAGCCAGTTTCTCAGCCTGATTTCTAAGGGCACAGCTGTGACCTTCACTTATGAAAGCCCCACCCCTCCAGTGCTGGGCATCATGGCCATTGGTCCAACCACTTAGAAGGCAGTGGCAATCCAACTCTCTCGGAAATGGGTCAGCATTACACCGCATTGGAGGAAAGACTTGTAATAATAGTTGTAAAGCACTTTGCAAATAAGAGGAAAAACTCACAACAATGGCTGTAAAGTGCTTTGTAAACACCACATGAGATAAGAGTGATGGATTATTGTTAGGTTTTGGAGGGGTGGGGAGGGAGTGGGAAGACCAGGGACAAAGCCTGGTGCTGAGTTTTCGCAGGGGGAGGGAATAGATAAAAGAGCTAGGAGATTTGGGAATCTGACCTTTTCACCAAGCACAGGGGCGAGGGGGGCCGTGCTCAGAATTGTAAATTGTGTCTCTCGGACTTGGCCAACTTGGAGACTTGCAGGCAGAGAAGGAACTGGCAGCCCGGCTGATAGTCTATACCTATGAGGCCACAAGGATACTGCTCATGGGAAATTGTAGTTACTGATATTTAGCAATCAGACACACAAAATGAATTAGGCCCTAACCCCATCCCCAGGAATGGGGATCAAATGCCTCACCTCCATCCATGAACCACTTAGGAAAACACTGTTCTTAAAGGGGGAAGCAAACTCAGCCTGATTTCTGAGGCATCCGATTTCATAGGGATGTTCCTAGGAATTATGGCAGATTACTTCTACCCAAGTGCCTGAAAAGAAAAATGTGGGCCAGGAGGTTGAAGGATCCCACCCCTGACTTCCCCACAGAGAAGTGACGCAATCAAAGGCAAAGACTCCGACCTCTCCCCTGACCTGCTCCATCCATCTTGGGGAACCCACCCACAGGCAGGGCTAACAAGCAAGTCAGGGCTGGTGAAGGAGGAGGAGTTCGGCTGCCTCCATTTTGAC